TTTAGGGTTTAGGGTTCAGGGCCACATGCGTTTAGCAGGCCGCGGGAAATGCATTTGGGCTTTTTCGGAGGCTTCGGGAGCTCGACTCCCCCTGGTTCTGGGATGTGTTGAAACGAAAGCCAAATGCGTCTAGCAGGCCGTGGATTTTGCATTTGGGCTCTTTTTTTTGCTTCGGGACTCCGTGGATTTGCCCGCATTTGGGCTTGGTCGGAGGCTTCGAGAGCTCAAGCCTCGGGAGTGGGGCCAGGGCACATTTGCTGAAACAGCTCTATATAAACGCTTTTCCAAGCCTTGAAAAATGCATTTTTGCTCTGGAAACTAAAGCAGGTTTAATACGATTCTAGGGTCACGCGCACACGATTTGCAAGGCTCACGAAACTCGCACACAATGAGAAGAGACAGACCTGCTCTAGAACCACTCACCCGGAATGAACCTGGAACCCACTTCTAACCTTCCGGAACTTGCTTCGGAACCTGCCCGGAACCTTCCGAGAACCCTCCCCGGAACCTGTCCGGAACCCTTCCCGGAACCTGCCCCCCCAAACCCTATTTCGGCTGAAGACCCAGAGCTCACGTGGTCATCCGCTTCTGCTGGTGAGTTTTAGCTGTTTGTGCCACTTCGCAGAAGCAAATAGTTATGTCCACTGTGGCCGAACTACCTTTGCAAATTGTCTTGCCTGCACACTGATCACGAGTACTATGCTTGACTTACATGCACCGCTTTCACATTACCTGCGATTCTGTGCGTCTGTTCAACAGGGTCGTTCTTGCTTTCTTTTTTCTGTACTTGGCAAGCAGGGTTGGCTTTCAAGCAACGAGTTTATTTCCAAACTTGTCAACACTCCCTGTGACCAAATATGGCCGAATGATATCGTCAACTCATTCTCGTCTGCTGATCCTTGCTTTGTTTTGCCATTTATGCATCGCACCATATGGGGAGTTCCGAAAATAGGGGGCCCTTATATAGTACCCCAAATAATAGGATCCCTATTATAAGGACCCCCCAAATAAGGTACCCTAATTTTCTGCAACTCCCATATTTCCATTCTGCTTGAAGGTGCCAGGCCGCCAGGCCAGATCGGGGAGGTCGGGAGGACAGTTTCCAGGCTGCAACCGGGCTTTCCGGTGCAGGTTCGAAAAATAGCGGTTTAGGGTTTAGGGTGTAGGGTCTAGGGTTTAGGGTTTAGGGTTTAGGGTTTAGGGTTTAGTGGCCATAGCGCACACAAGGGCTCCAACATACGTCTGAGCCAAGCAGCATTAACATAAACAGAAGCACGAGCGCCCACACCAGTGTCTTGGAAGACACCAGGATGCCTTAGAGCTTCCCCATGTCTTCCAAGCCAGACTTGGAATTGGCTTTCAGTCTTGCCAAGCAGCCGTTCACCATAACTCGGAGGTCAGTGAAGTAGCGAACCACACGAAAAACTCCTCGGCTTCCCGCGATCGTATTCCGACACCTCTTTCCAAGATCATGCCCTACTGCCTCTTCTACAGCTTTGATGAAGCTTTAACGCCCTGCAATGAAATTCTTGCGGTGCTTCAAAGCCTCAGCAAACCCTTCAAGACCTTTATTGAAACCCTTCCACAACCCCCTGGTAGACTCGGAGGCTCTCGGACTAAACCTGAAAGGGGGTCCCCCCTGTGTAGCCCAGCCGCTCAGGATGCGAAGCAGGCGCGCCAGCCTGAGCACGCGCAGCGCGGTGACGTTGATGCCAGATGCCGCTCGGCTCATGATCTCCTCGGTTGCTGCTCTAAGGAACCTAAACTAAGTGATTATAACTAGGAAACACTATTCTTTACTAAGTTTTAACAATAGGAAGAATTCTAGAAAGTAAGAGCAAGAATTTGCTCATGATCTCGTCCACACCGCTCGGTTACAAGGAGGAACATCGGGTTTAGGCGAGGTTTTGGGGAGGGTTGAGGCAGGGTTTGGTTTAGATGGGTTTTTTGACACTCACTCTCGGACAAGCCAGGCAAGGTCTGCATGGGTTTAGGGTAGGTAAGGTCAAAAGACAACCTGTTGAGAGCTTAAGGTGCACATCTTCCCACACCGAGACAGCTTTGGCGAGGGTCATCAACGAGGGAGCTGAGCACCAGAAGCCCATCGAACGTATTCCATCCAACATCCTCGATGCCCGAGACTCTCGGATTCAAGGCTTCCGAGGCCCGTCAGGTGCAGCCGAGGAGCCGGATTCTGACAGATGTACATTGCCCGACCGTACGCGAAGCATCTGATACCAAACTCTGCCAAGAATATCAGCGTGAACATCATCTGGCAGGGCAATCAGGTGACCCCGCAAAGACGACCCGCTGCATGCTGAGAGGAATGTCAGGCCAAGTGGCACCCAGCACCTCAAAATGAGCCTCGGCTTTGTGAAGAGTGATTCATGAACGCCTGAGCACCACTGCATCAAAGAGCCGGCTCCGGTGAAGCGTGGTTCTGCACCCCCCAATCCACCTGCCAGCCTTGAGTTGCGATCCGAACTGCAAAAATGTTTGACCATCAGCTGTGCTGGCAGCTGCTGGCAAGATGGACAAGGTGTCAATGAAGCCAGCGAGGCACCCAAGCTGCAGCAGTTCAGAAAGATTAAAGCGGCAAGCGCCTTCCCAAACCTCAGGTGGGACAGGTTGAAGCGGAAAAGCCAAAGTTGCCTCGCCAGCTTGGCAATCCTGGAGGCTTGGGCAGCCAGGATACGTCGGGGACTCCAAAAATTTCCGGCTTCGCTTCCCCCAGGCCTCAATCGTCGCTGTTCAGCTCTCTCAAGTAGACACACACAGACCACTTCAAAAAAACACGACGAGCGGCCTGCATCCTCGTGTCTGTCGGCAAGATGGGCTCCTCTCCGTACCACCATCGTCGCATGTCCCTGTGTTGAGTCAAGTTGAGCGGTGGAAGTTCAATCAAAAAGCCAGGTCCCTTCCCGAACGGGAAACACAACACATGAGTGCAACACAGGAGCTGGCCCGCATGCGGCAGTTCCACGTGAAACTGTCTAGTGAAGGATCGCTTCAGGGGGCTCTGCCGATCTCCAAAGGCATCCCTCTTCCTTAGACGTAAGGACAAAGACACCTGTCTCTCAGTCCATATCCGGCTCCGCCCAATCGGAAGATGCCAAGGTACTGATCCGCATCGTCGGCCTGCAGGGAGGCGCAGAGGATACTAATACTAAGAGGTCGGACGAATGATGAGGCAATTGATAGCAAGCATCCTGAGAACCGTCATCCGGCCAATGTCAAGGATGGTCTACATGACGTTGACGATGCAGGTGGTGTAGCATCACCATCATCATCATCATCATCCGCTCACCATCATGAGCATGACAACAGTAGGGATAGTACTGAGAATGCTGACCCGAAAGAATTCCATGTAATGTTGTTACAAAGCCATAGCAATATTAGAACGAATAGCGATGGCAACGCGAATCATGACACTTAGGCACTCCACGGGGCTGGCCTTCGGTTTGCCTCGGCCCGGTGCCTCCTCGCGGAGATGCGCGGGTTTTTCCACTGGCTTCGCTGCAGACAGCGTTCGCCTCCCATCACCGGGGGATTTTGAGAAAACCAAACCCTGAACCCTTTCACAGCGTCATCTCACAGAAAAGTGTGCAGCGTGTCAATACTTGGCCTGCCCGCTACGGCCTTAGCAACGACACAGCTTCTGGAACGCCAATGTTCCAAGGATCATGTCACGATGCCAATCCTTTCTGAGATCATGTTATTGCTGACCAACATGATCGAAGGATTCGTGGCGAAGTCACGGCGAGAATCCCGCGAGTGGTCATGTCATACACTGAACGCAAACGCCGGCGACGAGAATGAATACTGAAACGAAAACTAGAATCTTCCATCTCATATTCTGATAGCACCACATGCCAAGGTCCAAGACGACCCTCCGAAGCTTGGCTTCCAGCTCCATGGGGCATTGCACTCAGCAGTGCATCCATCCTCCGATCAAGCCCTGCCTGAGCACGTGCACCCCCTTAAGTGCATTATGGCCATGGTGATTGTAAGCAATGTTCTGTCTTGTTGTTATGCTCATGATGGTGACCGTCTGACTCGCATTGTCAGCACCACTGCAACTACTTCAGTACTGCGCTGAGCACCTTTACTTTAGTGTGTTAATGCCTGTGCGACTATTACATGGACAACTACGTCAACCGTCGCATGGTTACAAGAAATACGACAACATGACGACAACAAACTCAGGAAAGTGCACAAGCAAAGCAATTAAGTAGTGAGCACACGAACGAGCCAGAGTCCACACCTGCTTGTCTTACACACGGTTGATTAATGGGCAAAGAAAGACGCGGGCAGCTCCTAATGCCCATTCTAAAGTCAACCCTGTTGAAGGCCTAGGAATCACTCCAACATCAATCTTGACCGCTGTCTGGCCAAATGCAAAGTGTAGAAACCCATACCGCAGACCATGGGGCCAAGACTGCGGGCACTAGGCAACCCCCCGGTGTGACAGGCAGCTGCATGACTCCCGAACACGTTCAGCAAATACTGGTGTCCACGTGATCCTATGACTTAGTTTGCGTTCACAAGAGTCCCCAAGACACACACACAAGCGCTTGCCAACTGCCCGCAAGGTTGGTCAACGTGTGGGAGTCCCTCACGGATCCTCGAATGTGTCATGTCTGCCAAGGGGGGTGAGAGACAAGCTGAGGAAGAATTAAACGAGACAAAGGTCCGAGCATGTCGTCACGGGGAGATGGAAGGCGGCAAGATGAGATGGAACTGGCCGAACCAGTGAGTGCATAAACAATTTTCGAATGTAGCTGATGCGTGTGCGGTGGAAGTGTCGAAGAAGGACACCAACAAGGACAAAGCACTGTCATGAATAGAACAGGTCAATATCGACAGAACCGAAGCTCTGATCAGGACAAAGTCCGACAAACAGCCCGGGTGTTCGGATGGGAGTCTCACCAGTCACACTGGCTATGCGCCCGCGGCTCAATGCTTCAAAGGGTGGAGGTTTAACTTTACCAAAGGAAACATGCATTGGCCCATATTGATGTTGCAGCTATTTTCGCCATCTGCGTCCCAGGGGCCAACAGCGACAAGTTGATGCGTGCCTCTTGCTCTTTCAGAAGCTCTTGGAAGGAAGCGAGCAAGTTCGTTTCTTGCCTCAGAGGTCGAGAAGCAAGATGACAGCTGAAAGCCGCTACAGCACAGCCCTGTCGAGAACTCCATTATGTGGATGGTCTTCATGCCGCTGAGCGTCTCGAGTAATAGCTGCTGCAGAGCCTGGGTGGCCTGGCCACGCACTCTCGCACCGGAAAAAGACATGCAGCAGGATGTGGCTCTACTTCCTTGGGCCAGGTCGCCCCAGTGTCAATGCCGAGAGTTTCCTCATATGGTCGCTCGCCATGGTCTGGCGGCGAGCCCGGCATGGCAGGACGGTAACGAGAGTGTTGCCGGCTTGGGCCTCTACGGGGTCGGTTCGGAACGAGGTCTACTGCCCCTGGCTGGCCCTGACTCCTGTACGCACATCGGCTTAAAACTTCATGCAAAACGTGTATATGGACTGGATCCAGCTGAAAAGCGGCAGCGGCATGTTCCCTCTCTCGGCTTGCATGACATGTGGTGTGGGCGAGCTTTGGCATGCATGGAAAGACTGTCATAAAGTGCCATTGTGCAAACCGTTTTCTCTCGGCACATCTCGGATTCGACAGCACACGCCTAATCAATTGCGTGGAACTGCCAAAGCTGAAATCCGAAAGCCCCGACCAGGAGGAAGCGGCGGTCAGAAGGAAGCAGGAAGCAGCAGGCCTTTCGAGTTTAAACAGTGCCCCCACGGGCTCTCAGATTACATCTGATTTGAGGATGACTCAGGAGCCCTCGAAAGCTGCTAACGAGCCTGGACGCTGCAGGTTTCCACGCGGGCCCTTTCCTGCACTTCGAGGGGGGCACCCGATGAAGCATCCGGTGCAGCGGAAGCCTGCACTCCGACCAGACCAGACAAGAAAGCTGCAGAGAAACCTCTCATGCGCACACACACACACACACACGCACACGCACACGCACACGCACACGCACACGCACACGCACACGCACACGCACACGCACACGCACACGCACACGCACGCAGAACAAGCGAAAACAACAACAGGCTGCGACTGCTACAGTAACAGCATTGCCTGTTCTCCGACCTGCCACCTGCTGACGGTTCTGCCAGTTCTCGCGCTCGAAACACGAACCGTCCCCTGCTTGCCGCCCGTCAATATCCAGTTGCCGCAAGGAGAAATATCTGCGCAAAGCACTGGCTCTGTCAGCACTTCCAGCTTGACTGCAAGCTCGCCGTGGCCATTCCAAATCACTCCACGGCCATCTTCGCCGGCTGTCAAGACTCGCGACTGATCTGGAAAGAGCATTAACACGTTGACCAGCCCCTCGTGACCCTCTGCAAACTTGCAAAGCAGCTGGCCGTCATCAGAAAACTTCTCGATGGAACCGAGGCTGCTGGCAGTTATTATGCAACCGCCATAGGGAGAGATGACAAGAGCACTGAGTCCACAGCCCCCTTCTGTCAGAAATTGCTCGTCGTCCAACCGCCAGATTTTAGCAACCCCGTCCAATCCCAAACTAATCATTTGTCTGAGATTGGGGAAGACACAGCCGGCAACGACAGCAAACTTGTGGTCCATGTGTAGGTATGATGACAGCCTGCCTGAAGGTGCCACTTTCCATACCCTGGCATACCCATCACATCCACCTGTGAGTAGGCATGTTCCGTTTGGAAAAGGGGACACGAACAAGGCTCCACCCTCATGGGCCGTGATCTCCTGCAGCTGCTCATCGGAATCCCAGACACGTAGTGCGCCGTCTTCCCCAGCGGTTACAATGTCGCCCGAAGGCAGGATGCAAGCGCCGAAAATGACAAAGGGCACCTCCATTCCGAATTTCACCTTATAACCATGGCCAGGGACGTCACATAACCTTTCCGACTTTGACATGTCGCATCGATGTCCGTCAAAACTCACCAAGTCGTCTTCCTCGTCTCCCAGACTACTCTCTGCTGGAGAAGCATCCAAGAGCACCGAGCCGACGGATTTCACAACAGGCTTTCGGCCTCTCAGGTATGCGCGACGTTGCTCCGGGTCCTTGGCCTTGGCCTTGGCCTTTGTCTTCGTAACCTTCGCGACGCTTCCGACCATTTGGCGGCCGGGGCCCTACACCTCGGTTTACCGCTGGGGTGTCCGAGTCATCTCCGCAGCCGGAGGTCCAGGCGACCCAGGTACGCCATGGCGCAGAAGGAATCTCTGGACCTCTACGGCGACTATCTGGCTTGGCTTAGCCTGGCTTGGCTTGGCCTCCTGAACCATACACCGTCAGACGCCTCGACGAAGGGCTAGAGGCCTTCCCAAGTTGAGGGGAGGTTTGCACCGACTCCTCGGAGGAAAAACATGATCAATCATGCGCATGCAACCGGCTTGAGCGGGCCACATTGAGCCAGGCATTCCACTTACGTCGCAGCAGGGGGCAGGGTCTGTATACACCTTCGTTTGGGTTTGTGTTGTGGGGTTTGGGGGGTTTTGGAAGGCAACAGCAATGGCATGAAGCCATTGACGAGCCACGGCGGGATGCTCCTGTCACGGCTGGATACGGCTGGCGCTTGTTCTCGCTGCTCGACAAGTGAAATTTTGAAAATGTTCGCACAAGACGTGCTACAAACGGATCGACAATCACAAAGAGCTTCTCACACAAGGTCCTTGAATTGAACCTCTGCAAATGAATAAGGTTTTAACCCGTCACATGCCATCCATTTACATGTCCGGGGCACTTCCCCCGAAGGCAGTCAATCGGCTTCGAATGCCTTTTCGTTCAATCGTCTGCATCCCAAGTTTGCCCACATGCAATGGGCGCGATGTCGTCTACATCGCTAGTGATTCTTTAATAAAATATGTGTGGTAATTCATGCACTTGTTCGAGCGGGCTTGTCATCCTAGAGTCCTCCATGTCGATACCAGTGCCAGATTGTTGCGAGTTTGGATCAGCTCTGCTGCGAAACCGGACACCAAACCCACCCAGGAAGCGTGGAAATTCGGGCACCAGCTCCTACAAAGACCTGGTCCCAAATTTCAAGCGAGCAGATGCCTTGGCAACCTGACGGCAGATCCACTGTGGGCCAATGGAGCCCAACACTAATTCTGCGCAGTTGACGCCGCTAGCACCTCGTGCACCCGTGCTCACATATTCAAAGACGCCACTGCTCTTTGCCCCTTGCCTAGTTCCACTCCGATCGGACATCACTACTGGCTGCGCACTCTTGGAGATTGACACACGGGACACCGTCCCCGACGTGAGCTTCAGGACAATGAGTCGTGGCGAAACAAGATCGTTATGCAGAGTCCAAGAGCAAGTTGGACCTGCTGCATTTCAAACCTTTGGTATTTACATCTGCTATGAGCATTCTGACTCAGCTGGCTGGCGAAGTCTTCAATGCACTAGTGGATGTGAGTTCTATTCAATCCACTCCTGTCCTGCCATGCCAAGCGTTGACCTGAAAAACCGCATGTCAAAGAAAGCATGCCGGCAGCATGCACCGATGAGAGCTATCTGTGCGACATTGCTTCCCAGGCCAAGCTCTGAATGAAACAAAAGACGCCGTGTATGCGTCTGAATCACTAAGTAGTAACAGAGCGGCCTTAGCAATTGTACAGCCTTCAAAGTTCCGGGCGGCAGGTTTCTCCGAGAATCGGAGACGAATTAACCTGCTGCTCTGCATGCTGATGCTAACTCCGGAAAACTTCGATCTGCGTTGATCTCCAGTGATCAGTATTGCCAACCGATCCTGCTGTCCATGGCAGTTCTGCTGGGAGCATTCTGCAAATCCGGGTAGAAGACCTTAAGGCTGTGCGGCCATGCACTGCATGCAGACTGCACGACAGCAAACTCAGTGCAGAACTACACTACAGGGTCCTGTCTCCAAGCGCGAATGGTCACTGTAAGTGCGCGACCCCACATTGTGGGCAGAAGCGGTGGGAGCAAACCCGAGCCGATCCGCACCATGGACCTTCCAGTTCAGGGCATAAGTGGATCACGAACAATTCATTCATCTTCACCTGTGACTCAAAGACGACCAAGTACTACACTTCCACCTAAGCACCTACACACAAAAAAAGGGGAAAACACAAGCGCAACACCATCCCGGTCCATGAATCCAACACTGCCCGAGGTGCAAAAGTTGTGCGTCTTGGGCAAGCCATTGAAGAGCGGAGGTCCTGACAAATGGGTTGGCCAGAGAAAGACGGGAGTTGAGAGAGCACGAGTCGAGAGCGCAGGAGCCTGGAAGAGGCCAGTGGGGCAAGCCCCGCACTTCTGGCAATCTGGCATCACCTCTTCAGCAGACCCAGCTCATGACACATGTGTGGAAAACGATTAGGGTCTCCACCCAACCATGGCACGTCAGGTGCGGCCAAGCTCCTGCAAGATCGTTGATGCTTGTTTTAAAACTCTCTGTGCCTCATGCCATGGTGCAGTGGAATCCTGGGCTTGCTGGAATCGACCCATGGCGCGACGCACTGTCCTGCCAAAAACGTGGGCGGCTGCGGCTGGCAGGTCTGGCGACCGAAAAATAAATTTTGACGAGTCCTGTCTGAATCAGTTCTAGCATGGCGGCCATTTCTGCCGCCAGTGCATCACCGGAGCTGCCTTCATAATCAGCAGCTGCATCGGCCGTTCCTGTTGGAATCGATCATGCATCTCATGTCTTCGGGCTCGCCAGCAGGAGCCTGCCGTGGTCGCGCGGCTCCAGAAATCTGCTGGCAGATCATGGCCTGGAGACTTCTTTCTTTTTCGCCCCAACATCACCACATCGACTTCCCAACACTTTGCACCCGTGTTGAACCACAGCTTGACCCAGCAGAAGGAACCAGGAGCATGCCTTGAGCTGGATCTTCCAGCCCAGGCGGCTTCGAGAGAAGGAGCTCGTTGCCATCGCATGACTCTGGAACGCCCTCCTGATCTTGGTGGCAATATGAGCCTATTTCGAACCTACAAGCGAGGAAGCTGCAGACCTACATTCCCTCGACCAGGGCCTCGTGGTCGACGTTGCCTCGTAACTGCAGCTTGTCTGGCAAAGCCATCCCGATTGGGTCCCATGCCAGCTCCGCGTCTCGGCCCAGGGAAGTGTTGCAACATGTTTTCCCAGCCAGGCAAAAGCAGACAACGGTGCTTCTCAGAATGACATGGCCTTCATGAACTTCATGGCCTTCCTCAAGCCCGTGCGACAAAAAGAAATCCGGATGTAGGTCAAGCGGGTTCCATGTCAGCTCGGATGGCGTCTCATCCTGACATGCACACCATCGGCAATCCGCAGGCAGCTAAGCACAGAAGCGAAGCAGCCTCCGCCCGGCGTGGCGAAGCCGTCGAATCTGACCCTGCCCGGGCTCGTGGCGTGCCTTGCCGGTCTAAGCGCAACAAACCCCACAAACACTCCTGCAATTTCCTTCGTCCATTACCTCGGTATGTCCACTCGCGCTCTTGTCGGCTGACATTCATCAAAGCAGCCGTCCAAACCGCTGCCACATTGGAGCTTGCCGGCTTGATTCCACAATCGAAGCAAATCACGCTTGTCTAGGACGCCTCCGGCCTGCACCTGCGAAAGCTCGGGAGAAGCACACGCACCGAATCATCTCGAAGCTTGCTCTGAAAGCTTCACATCTCAGAGCAAGACAGGTCCAGTCAGCATTCCGCTTGCTTCAATGTTCAACCCCATCGTGGAACCTCGGGCTGTTCCCAATGATGCAAGCGCCACAACCTCCAGAACGATCCAAAACCCAGACATACTGACCTGGCCATGCTGCAACCGAGAAACACACAGAAGGGAAACCAACCGCCTCCTGGTGGGTTGCGGAGTTGAGCCAAGTAAAAACCTGCAGACCTAAACGTGTAACATGGCCTTTGACGGAGCTTCCTTTCGACTACATTCACCAAATTTCCGCCGCAAGATTTCGACATGCGATGAAAAAATGCTAGAAGCTAAAAAACGTGTACACGCAAAATCGAATTGAAAGCGGCATTGGTGCTTCGTTTTTTTGCCCCCCTTTTTTTCCGGCTGCCAGACGTCTCGAACCTATCTTGTCCTACGGAGGAGCTCCTGCCAGGGCTTCAGTGCTGCCGGCTGCCAAGCACAGGGAGCTGCCAGCGATGGCTAACGCACGTCCGCAGGGACCTCGTGCAGCCCGACGACATTCGGCTGCCAACCACACGTCACGTTTGTATAGAGCAAAACTTATTCGTAACCTGCATGGAACGCACAGCAAAGCAATGTTGGAAGCGTTTGTTGGCGCACGATGACAAGGCAGTTGTGCAACCAGAAGTCCGCCAAAATCAGCACATTGAGCATGACATATGCCAATTTTGGCACGAACTGCGAACTGTAAAGTGCCACCCGTACCATCGTACCGTAGTGGCCGTACCTGTATACAGTCCAGAACTTAGCATGACATAACCCCATGTAGAAATTTAGTAAAGCAGCTGGTCTCGCTCATGACGGCTAATGGGATGCCACGCCGTGTAGGAGGCATCACTGCGGGGGCAGCTCTACGGTCGCCGAGCGCGCCAAAGCACGGATTTGCCCCGAACTCGCAGAAGGCAATCGGTGCCTTGGTTGTCCTCAGCCCTGAGGTTGATTGGCGGTGGCCCCCATAGGCCGCTGAGTTCGTCAAACTGCTCGAGACTGCTCGCTCGAAGTTGTGCTCGCACTGCATCGGCGTTCGCCCTGTGTTGGTCTGCGTTCTTTGCCTTCGTCGCTCTGGCCCCTTCCCAATTGCAAGTCGCCTCCCCTAGACGCACATACCTGTGCCTCAGCCTTGGACTCCTCTGCCATCGAGTGTCACCTTGGATTTTTGCCTCTTGCAGTGGGACCGGACCACGTCGTGGATTGTCGAAAACCGCCTGTGGAAGCCAAATAAAGGTCATGATGAGTCATGTCATGCTAAATTTGGTGCGGTACGTTTGTATACGTTGGCACGGCTGGACCGATACGATGATACCCACGGTACAGTACGGACACGCCTCAAAAAGTGCTCATGTGCACCATAGATGCGTCCAACACATATACCGTCGAAGCGCCGCTCGTATACCATGCAGGCGTTCTGTCGAACAAACCTTCGTGTACTGTCTGAGCATCCCGTATGTCACAAAAGCACTC